GCTCTGAGCCATCAGCCCAGAGCCCGACGCGGGGCTCGAACTCACGGACCGCGAGATCGTGACCTGGCTGAAGTCGGACGCTTAACCGACTGCGCCACCCAGGCGCCCCAACACATCTTCTTTAAATACATAAAACCCATATTGAACAAAACAAGGTATTCCCTAGTAAAGTCAGCATAAATTGTCACAAACTCAACAGGTAATTACGCTCGTATTGCTTTTATCTTTCTTATTAAAAACTGCCTTATTACCAGAGACTTTGCTATTTCTTCAGGGTCTCTTTCCAATTGTCCCAGACCCCAGGGGCTTACTCTTGGGCCAGCAAACAAATCCAGGGAGACTGTGAGGTAGTTCTGGGCACTCTGCTTCTGGCTGTGGCTCTTCTGGCCTCAAAGATTGCTCTTGAAGACTGAGCCTGCAGCATCTGGCTACCATCCAGGACCTGGGATGTTCCTCAGTGCACAGATCCTAGTGCTGCTTTTGGGGAGAGGAGGAATGCTCTCCCTGATTCACTGATGAACTCTGACTCCAGTCCCTCAGGAGCAGCAGGTTAGGGCTTTTTCCCTGGTCCATCACTCCATGAACGAAGATCCTTTGTTGCTTTCTTTCCTCCAAGCTATGGGAATTTCCCCAGGTGCCTGGCACATCTGAAACTCTTCAACCACAAAAGGATGTGACAGTATGTCCTAACCCCAGATAAGGGAGCAATTGCCCACCCAAGGAAGATGGCCAGTGAACTTGAGGGGCCCACACCTTTACTGCAGAGAGAAGAGGGGTTGACCCTTAGTGATTCAAAGGCAATCTTTCCAAGCTTCTCTTTTATCAGAGAAGAGGGGGAAAAACCCCACAGAAATATAATCTCCAGTAGGGTGCTTCAAACACACCCAATACAAATGGCCCAAGAGTGGGGTGCCTGGGTGGCTCTGTCAAGCATCCCAACTTCAGCTTAGGTCATGATTTCAAGGTTTGTGGGTTTGAGCCCCGCACTGAGCCCCACATCAGGCTCCACACTCCCGGTGCTTGGGATTCTCCATCTCTGCTCCTCCCCCATGTGTGCTCTCTTGCTCTCTCTCACTCTCTCTCTCAAACTTAACACACATGGTTGAAGAGTAGCTATATTCATTTCCTATGGCTGCCACAACAAAATACCACAGACCAGGGGGCTTAAACAGCAGAGATTCATTTTCCCACAGTTCAAGACATAAAAAGTCCAAGATCAAGGTGTTGGCAGGTTTAATTTCTTCTAAGGCCTCTCTCCTTGGCTTGCAGATGCCTTTCCTCTGGGCAGCCACATCTCTGATATCTCTTTGTTTTGTCCAGATTTCCTCCTCTTATAAGGACACAGGTTAGATTGGATTAGGACACACCCTTACAACCTTATTTTAATTAAATTACCTCTTTATTTTTTTTTTTAATTTTTTTTTCAACGTTTTTATTTATTTTTGGGACAGAGAGAGACAGAGCATGAACGGGGGAGGGGCAGAGAGAGAGGGAGACACAGAATCGGAAACAGGCTCCAGGCTCCGAGCCGTCAGCCCAGAGCCCGACGCGGGGCTCGAACCCACGGACCGCGAGATCGTGACCTGGCTGAAGTCGGATGCTTAACCGACTGCGCCACCCAGGCGCCCCTTAAATTACCTCTTTAAAGGCCCTATCTGCACAGACAATCACAGCCTGAGGTGGTGAGGTTAGCCCTATACCATATAACTATGGAGTTATTCCAGCCCATCACAGTAGCTGAAATATGTTAGGATTTTATATAATTAATTATCCTAGTTAATTGGATGAAGTGACCTTCACCAAAAGCAGGTATTTAAGGTGCAGATTGATGGAGATTGGTGCATTGTTCACGGTAAAGGGAATCTACAAGAGGATCTATTTTCCTTGTGAACACTTTATCTGTAGAACCTTGCAGGAGATTGTAAAAGCCAATGAAACATGAGTGCAAGTGTCTACTTGGCTTCCAAACTGATTCCAAATCTGCATCCCACTCCTCAGCCCCTAACACCTTTGTATTTTCTGTGAGATCTAGAAACATTAACAACTATTTACTACAATAGTAAGCATAGGGAATCAATCCAAGGGGCATAATTCAGGGTGCTGCCCTCCGGAAGTTCAGTCTAATGAGAGAAACAGAAGAGCCATATATGGGGTGCCTGGGTGGCTCAGTCAATTAAGTGTCCAACTTTGGCTCAGGTCATGATCTCACAGCTCATGAGTTCGATCAAGACCTGCGTTGGGCTCTGCGCTGACAGCTCAGAGCCTGAAGCCTGCTACAGATTCTCTGTCTCTCTCTCTGCCCCTCCCCTGCTCATGCTCTGTCTCTCCTTCAAAAATAAACATTTTTTAAAAATTTAAAGAAGAGCCATATATATTCCCAATTCTAGTTCTATGGCCAAATGCTATTAGACCTTAGAAGAGGGAGAACTTAGTTTTGCCTGGGTTGAGGGCAGAAATGGTATTTGAACCTTGAAGATGTAGAATTTCCCACGGTAAGGAGAAAGTAGAACAGGGAGACTTGTTGAAAATATAGCAGCACTGTGATTACAGAGTAAACAGCAGGAAACAAATTTATTGTCATTAATAGCTGGTGGAACTAATCATATTTTCATACTCAAAAGTATCACTCAGTTAAAATTACTGAACCAGAATTATAAGTATTAACTTGGATAAATCTTTAAAAAAAACAAAGTTGAGCAAAAAAAGCAACTTACAAGTGAATACAAATAGTATGCAACAGAATGGAAGGGCTTTGTAGCACAGTGATTTCTTGTGTGGCTGGAGTCTCATTGCTTGAGTCTGTGGCCTGGCACCACCACTTGCAATCATGTATGTGATCCTAGGCAAATTGTGCCACTTTTCAGTTTTCTCACCTATAAATTGGGGATCATAATAGGACTTATACAAAAGGATATTCTGAGGATTTAAGGAAAAAAAAAACCAAGTAAAATACTTAGAACAATGTCTGCTATTCAGTAAATGTTAGCTATTGTTGCACCGGTGTAAAGTTTTAAAAGAAAGAGTACAATATTTTGTTGAGTGAAACATACAAATAAACCAAAACTTAATAACATAATGGGAAAATGACAATGACCAAACTTAGAGCAGTGGTCACCCCTGTGGGACAGGGAGGGGAAGGAGGTTGGAGAAGAGAAGGGAAGTGCTTCAACTATATTTGTAATGCTTTTTTTTTTTTTTTTAAGAGAAAGAGTATTTAAGTTGGGGAGGGAATCTCAAGCAGGCTCCACACTCAGCAAGAAGTCCCATGTGGGATTCAATCCCACAATACTGGGAGTGTAAGGGTTAAATTGTAGTGTAGGGCTAACGCTTAGCTTGAAAGATAACAACTTTGTTCTGACACTAAAGATCAAAAGATAACAGCCTTGCTTTTACTCTTGTAAATCATACTTCATACTCTTGTGAATCAGGCTTTACCAATGAAGGAAACAAAAGCTCAAAAAAAGAGCATCAGAGACAAGGTCAAGGAGATCCACTGGTTGCAACTTAGCAGCAGAAAGTCTAAAATAATCACCTCATTCAATAACTGTTTCTGACTCATCTGGCAACTGTTTCTAACTCATCTGGGAACCGTTTCTTTGTTCTGTTCCCAGATAATGATAAAATGATGTGATCGGCTTTAAAAACTCTGTACCCCGGCTGTTCGGGGCCACGCTCTTATCAAGAGTGTTGGTCCCAATCGGTCACTGGTGCCCGTAGCATTCTGTTTCAGGAGTCGTGTGGATGCAACAGGATCATGACCTGAGCCAAAATCAGGAGTCAGAGGCTTAACTGAGTGAGCTACCCAGGCACCCCATGTAATGCTTTATTTCTTAAACTGGGGGATAACCACCTCTTTTCCTTAAATTAGCATTTACGTATATATGTAACAACTGGTGTATATATATATAATATTTTATATTAAATAGTTTAAAATGTACGTCAAGTGAGATGGAGATGGTATGATATTCCTGTAGATACCAAAGACCCTCCCTAATTAGTTTTGTGAGGTTTGGGGTTGGAGGCACAGAAGATCCATGAGGAGGGATCCTGGAGCTACACAAACTGCCTGGCTCCTTCTCAACATGCCTATCTCTGTCTAAATATCTCTTCCTTGAGGAACCTTCCTTGACACCTATTTTAAAGCAGTACATCCCCTCCACTTTCTAACACACTCCACTATGTTATTGCAACGGGCTTATCACTCTAGGCTGTTTTGTATTATTTTACTCAGCAATTGTCTGTCTCCCTCCACTAGAATGCTCTATCTTGTTCAACACTATATTCCCAAAGCTTTTTCAAATCTTCCGGGTTTTTTGTTTTGTTTCGTTTTGGTTTTGTTTGTTTTTGTTTTTGGGATGGATAGATGAATAGATGGATGGATGGATGAATGAGTGGATGGATGGATGGATGGATGGGTGGGTGGGTGGATGGATGGAGACCGTTCCTCCATACTCATGACTCCTCTTTTTAGCCGGCCTGGAGGGCAGAGGTAGAATGAGAAAAGACTGAGGAGGGGAGGGAAGATTGGAGTGGGTTGAAGAGAGGGCTTATGAAGATTGGATTAGAGGAATTGAGGAAAAATGCCCAGGCTGAGTTTTCCGAGCTTGAAGAGCTGAGGGCTGGGGCTCCTGGGTGGCTCAGGCGGTTGAGTGTCTGACTTGGGTTCAGGTCGTGGTCTCATGGTTTGTGAGTTCAAGCCCCGCGTTGGGCTCTGCACTGACAGCTCAGAGCCTGGAGCCTGCTTCGGATTCTGTGTCTCCCTCTCTCCCTGCCCCTCCCCTGCCTGTGCTCTGTCTCTCTCTCTGTCTCTCTCAAAAATAAATAACAACAACAAAAAAAAATTAAAAAAAAAAAAAAGATGTGAGGGCTGAAGGTGGTGGTGGGGGGGGCAGGAAGTCAGGGAGAATGGGACCCAAGCGGGGCCAGAGGGAGAGGCGGGGCCTTGATTGAGGGTGGGGCCGGATGGTGGGCGTGTCCTGGAGGAGGGGCGGGGCCTGCGAGCGGATTGTTGGGAGCGGCGCGCTGCGGCGGCGGCGGCGGAAAATGGCTGCTGCGGAGGCGGCGGACACTCAGCTGATGCTCGGAGTCGGGCTGATCGGTGAGGACGAAGGCGCCCTGCCCCGCAGTCCCGCGCCCCAGTTCGGCCTCCGCCTGGGCCCGGGGTGGCCTCTGCTCCCGCGGTCCCCGGCGCCGCCTGCGGTGAGGAGGTCGCGGCCCCTTCTCTGTTGGGCCGGGGCGGGGGGCTGCGGGGCGCGGGGGACCCGGCCAGCCGCCCTGGGCGGGTCCGCCTGTAGCCTCGCGTGGGACCCATCCGGGCGGGGCAGCAGGGCGGAGGGACCCCGGGCCTCCTGCCGGACGCCCCATGATGCACAGAAGCCCGGACGTCGAGGGTGACGGAGCTCCGGCGGCTGCGAGGGGCCGCTGCGCAGGCGGGGCAGGGGCTGGGCCGAGAGCGCGTAGTGGGCGGTGCGGGGTGGGGGGAGGCGGCGGGGAGACCTCGGAGCGTGCGGGAGGCACGCGTGACTGCCTGCCCGGCGCCCGGCTGGCCCCGATAATGTGATTGAGCAGTTCGAGTCACCGTGACCAACCGTGCCAGCCCCGAGTGCTGAGCATTATGCATGGATTATCTCCCGTTAAACTTCTACCACGGCTCCAGGGGGTGTGGGTAATGTTTGGTGACCACATTTCGGAGAAGCAGATGGAAGCCCAGGGTGTGCTTTGCGCACGGACGCGTACTAGGAAGCGGCGGAGCCAGGGTTGGGACCCTTGCGGTCTAGCCGCAGAGCCCTAACTCACACCAGTGGAGGAATCCTGTATCATGTGATAGAGCTCAGGCACGTAGCCGGCGTGTCTACACAATCATGTATGGCGGGATCCCGGTTAGATTTGAGGAATTGGTGGTTGAGGAAGTACGTTGGGATCTTTGGGTGTGCCTGAGCCGTGTGCAGTGTCTTAGGGTTGGGTGTTTCAAGGAACCATTCATCCCATTGGCGGCCGCGGGTTGCTTGAATGAACGTCTGTCGGTTCCCTGCGTGCCGTTGACCTTTGAAGTAATACTCCATTGAGATAACATTCTATTCCTCTAGTGTGGAAGAACGTTGCTTGCGTTTAGCAAAACTGGCTAACTGTGCTGATTATTTCTCAGTGTCTCAAAGGAGTGCATTTATCTGGGAATGGCTTCCTGTGTTTCTTTTTTTATTTCCCCTGTATTTATTTTTAATGTGGTTTTAGAACTGCTTCAAAACAAAACCTAAGTACTTCAAGCATCTTAGTCCTGCTTGAGGGTACTTGTGAATAAGGTTAGGTTAAATTCTGACTTTATCTGGTAACGGCAAAGACGAAGATGACTTACAATCATATTTTCAATTCAGATTTTTATTTTTCGTATGGAAACGGATTTAAAAGGAATTTGCTTCAAAATAATGGGGGAGGGGGACCATTAGAAACAAGGAGGGACCAGGTGTTGATAATTGCTGGAGCTGAATGATGGAGACGGGAATTCATTTTTTTATGAGCTTGATATTTTCCATAACAAAAATCTGCATCCATACTGCTATATGCACAGTAACTCTTTTTCTAAAGCTTAGGCTAGGTTATTGAGGTGTTTACTGTGATGAGGAAACTACATTATGTGACAGGATAACCATTATTATTATTACTATTGTTATTACATTATTATTATTACTATTACAATGTTAAATGTAGAATTTATACAATCAGTATATAACATGATTTAAAAGAAATTTCACCATTTTCATCATCTCCAGTTTTGTTTTTGACAAACACTTCCTGTGTATTTATTAAAGATCTTTCTAACTGATAAAAATGTAATGCTGAGGGGGCACCTGGGGGGCTCAGTTGGTTAAGTGACCAACTCAGGTCATAATCTCAAGGTTCGTGAGATTGAGCCCCACATTGGGCTCTCCACTGACAACGTGGAGCCTGCTTGAGACCCTCTCTCTCCTTGTCTCTCTGCCCCTCCCCTGCTCTCACTCTGTCTTCTCTTTGCTCTCTCAAAATAAATAAACTTAAAAAAAATTAAAAATTAAAATTTAATTTTAATTAAAATTAAAACAAAACGTAACGCTGAGTTTATGAATTTGTGTGGGAGGAGATAGGAAAGAACTCTGCCAAATTTAAGGCTCAGATTTTCTTTTCCTTAAAATTTTTTAATGTTTATTTATTATTGAGAGAGGGAGAGAGACAGAGCATGAGCAGGGGAGGGGCAGAGAGAGAGGGAGACACAGAATCTGAAGCAGGCTCCAGGCTCCGAGCTGTCAGCACAGAGCCCGATGCAGGGCTCGAACTCACGAACCATGAGACCACGGCCTGAGCCAATGTCGGATGCTTAACTGACTGAGCCACCCAGGTGCCCCTTAAGTTTTCATTCATGATTTGTTGTAAAAGGTTTTTACTCAGGTGGCCTAAAACTCGAGATCAGGAGAGCTGCATAATTGGACCAGCAGAGGTGGATGGGAATTTGGGGTCACACATGCTCCGGGATGCTTTGTAGAATGGGATGTGAAAACTGATTCCACTAAGTGCTTCTGAGTAACCAATCAATTCACTTCCTTGCTGCTGTTTGACATTCTCACAGTGACCATCTTTCCACCGTAGAAAAGGACACAAATGGAGAAGTTCTGTGGGTGTGGTGTTATCCCTCCACGACAGCTACTTTAAGGAATTTACTGCTGAGAAAATGCTGCCTTACAGATGAAAACAAACTTCTCCATCCCTTCGTCTTTGGTCAGTACAGAAGAACATGGTTTTATATCACAACAGTTGAAGTTCCAGATTCTTCAGTTTTGATAAAGGTATGACTGTATGAAGGTCTAACAACCAAAAATATTTAAAGTGACGTAACATTATTCCAGTGACTCTTAGCTTTAGACATTATTGCTCACAATACGCTTTTGAAAAATACCAGATATGCTTTTCACTGGGAATGTCCCCTTTCAAATTTCACTCTTATTCATTCTATGAATATTGGTTGGTGTACATTCTATTGACTGACCCTATGTCTGGTGTAGTGAAGTCCTTTCTGGGTTATACTCTGATGGAGTAGAAATGTAGACATGCAAAGTCGTGACCAATTAAAAGTGGAAAGAAGCATTTGTCCATAATTAAAAACCATTTTAAGTTTTTTTTTTTTCTTAAGTTTATTTATTTTGAGAGAGATTGAGCAGGGGACGGGCAGAGAACCTCAAGCAGGCTCCACACTGTCAGTGCTGAGCCCAGTGCGGGGCTCAAACTCAAACCATGAGATCATGACCTGAGCCAAGATCAAGAGTTGGACACTTAACCAATTGAGCCACCCAGGTGCCCCTAAGTTTGTTTGTTTGTTTGTTTGTTTGTTTTAAGTTTGTTTTGAGAGAGAGAGAGCATAGGAGGGGTAGAGAGAAGGAGAGAGAGAGAATCCCAAGCAGGCTCTGCACTGTTAGTGCAGAGCCTGACATGGGGATGGAACCCACAGACCACAAGATCATGATCTGATCCAAAGTCAAGAGCCAGAAGCTCAACTGACTGAGCCACCCAGGCGCCCCAAAAACCATTTTAAAAGATAAAATTATCCTTGGGATGCCTGGGTGGCTCAGTTGGTTGAGTGTCCGACTTTGGCTCAGGTCATGATCTCACACCTCAGTGGCTTTGGGTCTTGTGTCGGGCTCTGTGCTGACAGCCCAGAGCCTGGAGCCGGCTTCAGATTCTGTGTCTCCGTCTCTCCTTCTGTGTCTCCCTCCCCTCCCCGCTCAAAAATAAATAAATATTAAAAAAAAATTTTTTTAACTTTATTAAAAAAAAATTTTTTTTTAACGTTTTATTCATTTTTCAGACAGAGAGAGACAGAGCATGAACGGGGGAGGGGCAGAGAGAGAGGGAGACACAGAATCGGAAGCAGGCTCCAGGCTCTGAGCCATCAGCCCAGAGCCTGACGCGGGGCTCGAACTCACGGACCGTGAGATCGTGACCTGAGCTGAAGTCGGACGCTTAACTGACTGAGCCACCCAGGCGCTCCTATTTTTTATTTTCTTAAATTTGCATCCAAATTAGTTAGCATATAGTGAAGCAATGATTTCAGGAATAGATTCCTTAATGCCCCTTACCCCAAAAAATTTTTTAAAGATAAAATTATCCTTGATATAATTAAGAAAACTTTTTTTCATTTGTTTATGGATGGTAAGGATATGTTAGGAATAGAAAGGAGAGTTAAGGAAACATGTATTAAGTAGGCTTTTGTGTGTGTGTCATTTGATATGAACAGTATCAATGTGACATGTTGAAAACCAGTATGTGGTCACTGTGGGCTTTTCTAATTCCAAGTAACCATCAGGGTTTGTTTTTTGTTTTGTTTTTTTTTTTTCAAATAAAGAAATACTGGAAAGTGACGAAGCTCCTGGTGTGTGCCTGTGTGGGGACTTCTTTTACCATCTAGGGCTACTTTTATAGCCAATAATCATGAAACATGTCCAAGATATCAATTTAAATTTAAGGAGTTACTTTTAAAATAACAAGAAGGCAACAGTTTAAAACTGTTAGAGGTTTTGGGGCGCCTGGGTGGCGCAGTCGGTTAAGCCTCCGACTTCAGCCAGGTCACGATCTCACGGTCCGTGGGTTCGAGCCCCGCGTCAGGCTCTGGGCTGATGGCTCGGAGCCTGGAGCCTGTTTCCGATTCTGTGTCTCCCTCTCTCTCTGCCCCTCCCCCGTTCATGCTCGGTCTCTCTGTGTCCCAAAAATAAATTAAAAAAAATAATAATAATAAAACTGTTAGAGGTTTAAAACAAAACAGATTCATAATTAGAAAATTTAAATTTGCAAAAAGATAGTTTTCAATGTGTTATAAAATCTTTGGTTTATGTTCATTAAGTTCTTGCTGAAAAGTCTTGATGTGTTGAATAGGTTTATCTGTGTTTTGTTCCATAGAATGCCAATAGCAGCAACATCGATTTCAAATCTGCTTTTCAGATTTGAAAAATGACAAGATTTAGAGGTAGTTCTTATACTTAAGAATATGATTTCTAAAAATGTATTTCTTAAATGCTTTGCCTTTTATAAAGTCCTGAATTTTATCTCATTAATGGGAATAATAGGTATATGATTAGAAGAAATTTATATTTATAATAATAGAGGAGTATAGACAAATGAAGCTTATTGTTACAGTGTGCTTTCTACAGAGATTATATGGCATTCTGTAGAGCATTGACTATTTCAGGAACTGTGATCTTACTGTGTGTATTTTTGTTGTTTTGTATCCTCTTTCATTATTAAGAGTTGATAAATTGGTAGATCTGATATGACATTTCTAATTCTGCTTTGATGAGGTTAGAATACTTTAAATGAAAACTCACATTTTTGATATTTGAAATATATTTGTGTTTTTGAAAAGATGTTAACTCTAAAAGTACTACATTCTTATCTAAGAAATGAAATATATAGGTATATATAAGTACATATCTTTTATATGTGTGTATATAAACATAAAAGTATAAACAAGGAAGTGAGAACTTGGTTACGTTTTGATCTTTTCTTTTTAATGCTGTTATGTCTTGTACAAGAGGTTTGCTAGAATGTAGTAATAAAATTTAAATCTGTGAAAGTGTCTTTAAAAAGTATACTTTTTGTTTCTTTTGGACAGGTGACTCATTTTTCTATTGTTCTGACCGCCAAAGATTTTAATCCAGAGAAATATGCCGCCTTCACTAGGATATTGTGTAGGTCTGTATGAAAACTGTATTAAATGCTATCCTACAAAAATGAAGATCTTGCTCGGTAGTTACATAGCAGATATCTACACGGAGGAAGCAAATTTCAGCCCTCTGCTTCCCCAACTTAATCTTTACTGGCCCTCTGGAAACTTCTGTAAGAGGAACTTTCTCTTCTGCTTTTATGACACTGCTCTTATTTGGGAAAATGGTAGAAGGGAGGAGGAAAAGCAATTTACACAACCATTGTAGTTCTTGGGTATTTGAGTCACTTGCTACTGTTGGCCTGACAGCTTCTGCTCACTTCCAATCTAGAACTTTCCTTAGCAGGACGGATAAATTAAGTGCTGGCGAAGTGGTAAGCTAGTTTATACGTGTCAAGGTCTGTGTGGGGGAGTCATTTTGGGGAAAGTTAATGAGCATTTTGAATTATGCAAAAACGCAGGAAAATACTTCTTTTTATTTATTTATTTATTTTTTTTAATTTTTTTTTTTCAACGTTTATTTATTTTTGGGACAGAGAGAGACAGAGCATGAACGGGGGAGGGGCAGAGAGAGAGGGAGACACAGAATCGGAAACAGGCTCCAGGCTCTGAGCCATCAGCTCAGAGCCTGACGCAGGGCTCGAACTCACGGACCGCGAGATCGTGACCTGGCTGAAGTCGGACGCTTAACCCACTGCGCCACCCAGGCGCCCCAAGGAAAATACTTCTTAGCTGGAATGCTGGGAAGCTGAGAATCTGATTAATTGGTTAATAGTGATTCAGGTAAACTTCTTTAGTTTCATCCCAGCTGTTGAAAAATTTTATGTAAAATATACCAGTTTGCTTTCTTGCCTTGGTGAGCATATATAGTGGAGTTAATCAAACCTTTCTTGTATGTTGGGGAAATTAGTTTTTTCCTCAATCAGGGCTTTGACAGGGTTTTAGATTTTTTTTTTTTTTTAATATTGTTGTTACTAGATAGAATTGTAATTCTAGAGGTTATGTATTACAACATCAGCCCTCAGGCTTATGCTCAGTAAGTTGTTTTAGATGGGGTGGGGGGCAAAGGGAGTTGTTTTTGTGTTCCTCGCTATAAGCCTGATGAATGGTTGCTTTTTTGCCATTTTTATGTGTACACACACATGCTATCTATCTCTGGCTATCTATGTCTATATGTCTATATCCATAACTATATCTATATCTATATATCTATATCTCCATGTAGCAGAAGACTACTTTCTAATTACTTAAGGGTTTCTTTCAGGTAGGTTGTATTTTGACAGAATGAAGTTTTACTGTTTTGCAGCCAGCTATGATAAGAAAACCTTTTTGCTCTCTTAAGATAAGTTCCAGGTATATGGTTCATTGTAGAATATAAACAGTTGTCTGCTACCATGGCACTGACACAAAGGGAGATTATTGTTGTGAGAAGAGACGCTATCTAGAAGCCATGAGCTAAAAACACTGTAAAGCTGCTTTTGAACAAACGTTGGACTCCCATCTCATTTGACTGAGTCAGGGTTAGGTTTCCCAGTGAATTCACTGGGAAATATTCTTGGGCTCAAAATTTAAGATTGCTTTAGATTCCACTTCCTGCCCGGGAGGAAGCTGGAAGGTTCCTCAGCTTCTGTAGTGCCATGGCATTGTTGGGTTCTGGACTCTTCTCCTGTCACAGTTTAGGAGAAATGAGGACTGAGAGCTATTGGCAGCCATCTCTTCTGCCCCCTGCACCTTACTGCACTTACCCTTGCATGTGTACATACCCATATGCTTTTGCACACGCACACACTCCCTCTCCCCACTAACACATGTCTGTGTGCACAAGTACATAGACCAACACTTTCGATGCTGCTGCTTACCATGGAGGTGCTCCCTTCTGTTTCTGGGGAGGGGACAGGCAGGCGTGCCTTCCATAGCACACTGCTCACAGTGGCAGTGGAAGCCCACACGAGGGGGTTCGTTCCCTGTGTGGGATCCAGGTCATTTGCCACAACCCCCTTCATCTTCCGGAGCCTCCAGCTAGTGGCCGTGGTAGAGAACCAGGGTTTCACTTGGAACCAGTTGTCCGGGCCAGGTGTGACAGCCTCCGGCTGTCCCATCTGAGTAAGGTCCCCTGGGTTGCACTTTGTGGTTTTCCTATGGAATGATTTGGGGGGACCCTTCCTTTGTCAGTAGTTCATGGCCCAGGGTTGTTATGGAAAAAGTGATCTTATCCTACTACCCTTCCTGTGTTTCTCTTTTCCATTACTGTATATTGTTTCTATTTCACAGGGTTTTTTTTTTTTTTTTAAGTTTATTTATTTTGAGAAAGAGAGAGACTGAGTGTGTGTGTGTGCACGCATACACACGTGAGCAAGGGAGGGGCAGAGAGAGGGAGAGAGGGAATCCCAAGCAGGCTCCACACTGACAATGGGGCCTGATGCAGGCCTCCAATTCATGAACAGTGAGATCATGACTTAGGCAGAAATCAAGAGTCGGACACTTAACTGACTGAGCCACTCAGGTGCCCATCTATTTTACAGTTTTAATGGTATATTGTTTGTTTGTTTGGTGGTGGTAACGTAAGCACACAGGAAAAAAAATACAGACAATACAGAAGGGTATACAGTGAAAACTAGGTCCCTTCCTCTCCCTATTCCTAGCCTTCAAATCTGCCTCCCGACCCCCACCCCGGGGCACTCCTGGGGCTGTTTTCTTTATATCATACCGGAGATATTTTCTCCATATAGAAGCATGTGTATGAGTTCATGGGTTTGACTATTTTATATGTAGGATAGCTTACCATATTCATTGTTCTCTACCTCTTTCCCTCAATTGTGCATTGAAGTAATTTAAAAACACTGGCTGGCTAGTAGTTACAACACTTGCTTTTTTCACTTAACCTACAATAAATACAGTTTGAAGTGATCTATTTTATTTTTAAAAATTTTTTTAAATCTTTTTTAATGTTTATTTTTGAGAGAGAGATAGAGCATGTGTGGGTTAGGGGAAGAGAGAGAGATGGAGAGAGAGAATCCCAAGCAGGCTCCACACTGTCAGCACAGAGCCCAACGAGGGGCTCAGACTCACGAACCGTGAGATCATGATCTGAACCGAAACTGAGAGTCAGACGCTTAACTGACTGAGCTACCCAGGTATCCCTCAAATGATCTGTTTTAAACAATAATTTTATTTTCTTTCCAGTTTTTTTAATCCATTTAGCTACTAAAAGGCTCAAGTAGGCCCAGTCCTGCTTCTCATGCAAAATTTAGATTTAGTTACTCACAGGAAGAGATTTCAGGGGAAGAGACTGATTTCACATGTGAGCTATAAATGTAGGCAGTTTCCTGTCAGCGTTTTCTAGAACTTGATGATGAATATATCTAGTGTATACTTACCACCAGAAACTTAAAGGAGTTTGATTTCTTAATTATCTAAATATAGTTACCTCTGGGAACTCTGATAATAAATATAGGTTCTATAATTACTGTTTTCTCTGTGAACAATGTGTAAAACTCCTTTCTTGTCAAAGGAAATCCCAGCAATAATAGAGTCCTTATGGCTAGAAGCACCATTTGTGAATATAAGACAGATAAAAATGCAATATTTTTTTTAAGAATAGTGGGCCCTCAGGGGCGCCTGGGTGGTGCAGTTGGTTAAGCATCTCAGCTCAGGTCATGATCTCATGGGTTCGTGAGTTCAAGCCCCACATCAGGCTGTGTGCTGATGGTGTGGAGCCTGCTTGGGATTCTGTCTCTCCTTCTTTCTGCCCCTCTCTGACTTGTGCGGGTGTGCACATGCTCTCTCTCTCTCTCAAAATAAATAAACTTAAAAAATAAAACTTAGGGAAAAAAAGAAAAGAGAAATGAGTCCTTAGAAAGTCCTTAGCTTACTCTCCTGCTCCAGTGGGCTATAGAGATGGAAGGAGAAAGCCAGCTTGAGGGAGTTGTTGGAGGTCTCTTGAATGGTTGTTTTTTCAGTACATTATCAAATTAAATTATAGAAGTAGTCATGTCATAAAAAGTTTCAGGCATGCAGAAACGTTATCAGCAGGTTGACTTAGATTTTTTAGGAAGTACCCATACCCAGCCTTGGGCGCATTGCTCTGTGTGGTTCATGCTATATAAAAGCATGGTTGTTTTTTGTCTTTTCTTACAGAATGTACCTGAAACATGGGAGCCCAGTTAAAATGATGGAGAGTTATATTGCAGTACTCACAAAGGGGATATGCCAGAGTGAAGAAAATGGCTCTTTCCTTAGCAAGGATTTTGATGCCCGAAAGGCTTATCTTGCAGGCTCCATCAAAGGTAAACACACACACACACGCACACACACCCCACAAAACAAAAACCCATCCCGGATGGTTCCATCCCAACAACAAGATCCCCAAGCCAAGGGCAATCCTCATTGTACTCTAATATTCCATCTTTCTGTATATTTTCATCTATGTAATATTTATTTGCTATACAGGAGGGTAGTTCAACTTCTACATTGCCTTATTTGATTAGAATTCTGTTGTAGGAAAGCAGATTTTTGTGGTGGCCCTTTCCACACGATTCTGACTGTTAATAATACAGAAATGTTCTTTTGTGGGTAAGCTGAATTTCACAGCTTGAGTATCTGCCGACTTCCATAGTTTTTCTTTCCTTACATTTTAGCAGTTACTTCCTCCATGTGGAGAGCTCAGGCCCCTGACCCAGAGTTCCTCTTCTAACTCTCCGCCTTCCTCTCCCAACTGGAAAATCCAAAACAGCAGTGCAGGGCTAAGCCACAGATTTCAGGGTCCTTAAAAGGGAGGAAAGGGGAAATGCTGGCCTTCACTCTTGTCCTCCTACAGCACCTGTCTTAGCTCTTGAACCTGCTGTTCTATATGGTTTCTAAGCATCCTTGTTGACAGGTTTGTTTAGCTGTCTCAAAAGGACTTACATAATGACGTATGTATTGGTGGAAGGGTGGTGTCCATGAACTTTTATTTATCTATTATTATTTTTGAATGTTTATTTATTTGAGAGAGAGAGAGCCAGTGGGGTTGGCGCAGATAGAGAGAATCCCAAGCAGACTCTGTACTGTCAGTGTAGAGCCCTATGTGGGGTTGTGGGATCCCACAAACTGTGAGATCATGAACTGAGCCGAAATCAAGAGTCAGTTGCTTAAGCCACTGAGCCACCCAGGTGCTCCAGAGTAAACTTTTTTTTTTTTTTTTAAACCTAAGGGTGTTGTTTCATGACACAGAAAGATACTGGTTCCCTTCATATCATTTATTCCACTTTCTTTGGGCTCTGGCTTCATCTGTGCATCCAGTGCAGAGTCCCTTGGAGGAGGGTCAGGTTTAGGCTGTCATAGCACCCATCCTAGGGAGCAGATGTCTGGATTTATATGCTCATCCAGTGCATAAGGTGCTTTTTTATTCTCTGTATTGAAAATAATTCTGTATACAGAAAATAAACTCTGCATTTATTGGAAAGAATTCCTTCCAATAAAAATGTTATTTTCTTACATATTATTTAATGCAGTAATATTATAATTTCTTGTGTTTTAAGACATTGTATCTCAGTTTGGAATGGAAACCGTTATCTTACACACAGCACTGATGCTAAAGAAAAGAATTGTCGTCTATCACCCCAAAATAGAAGCTGTCCAGGAGTTCACCAGGTATGTCTCTGGTCATTAAAATGTAGAGGCTTTGTTGGCAGCTGATTTGGGGCAGTCTGTGTTCCTGTGTGCTCTGTTCTGTTACACATTTGGTATAAATAGAATGTGGTAGGCTGTGGGTGAAATGCTATCTTGGTCTAATGTTTCAGGTGAGCTTTAGTAGTTCAAGGTCACCAAATTTGGGCAGATTCTTCTTTAAATTTAGAAATAAGAATATTTTAGAGCAGGGAGTTTGAACTTTTCCTTGCCAGACCATAAATTTTTTTAGGCTTGGAGGCCATAAGTTCTCTGTCCCAACCACCCAACTGCCAGTCGTGCATATGTAAATGAATGAGCATGGCTGTGTTCCAGTAAAACTTTATGTGCAAAGACAGACAGCTGATCCATGGCCATAGTTTCCTGACCCCTGTTTTAAGTAAGTTATTTCTTTTTTCTTTTTTCACTTTTACCACAGATTTTCTCTTTTTTTAAAAAAAAACATTTATTTATTTTTGAGAGACAGAACACAAGTAGGGGAGGGGCAGAGAGAGAGGGAGATACAGAATCTGAGGCAGGCTCCGGGCTGTCAGCGCGGAACCCGACATGGGGCTTGAACACACAGACCACGAGATCATGACCTGAGCCGGAGTCTGATGCTTAACGGACTGAGCCACCCAGGTGCCCCTCTCTTATTTTTATAATAAAGATGTTTTGAAAGTTTTTTCTTTACCAAATCTAACTTGTTCATAGATTCTTTTTTAAAAACAAGAGAACCTAGCTTTTGTGCTTACTGTATGCCAGCTGTTGTATAAATCACCTCAATTGTTAAATTTACTCGTGACACGAACTTTGCAAGGAACTTTGCCTTCTTTTACGGATGAGAAAATTGAGGCTCCAGGAGGCTGACTGGTTAGAAAACGGGAAAAAGAAGGTTTGGTAGTCAGAAGAACTTGGGTTAAAATCCTGGAGGGCGCTTTACTCGCTCTGTGACCGCATCCAGGATACTTAAACTTTCTAAGCCTCCGTCTCTGTATCTGTAAAATGAAGATAACAATGCCCACTTCGTAAGCCTGTTGTCAGGACTGGAGATGCCGTGTGTGAAGTACTTGGCGTGTGCCTTGCTCATCATGTGCGCTCTGGAAGTGAGGACTGCTGTCATTGCGATTGCCACCCAGTCACCCTTTCCCTCTACATCTATGCTTCTGGAACGGGGATGTCCACAGCTTGGGAAACATAGCAGGGCAACAGCGGAGTCACCATACCTCAGTTCAATTCGTCACCTCTCTCTGCGGCAGCTGTTTCACTGGTTTTTTCAAGGAAACTTACTTTGTATAAAAACAAACACAAAGTGGTTTGCAAGTTCGATTGGAACTTTAAACATAGAAGTGAGAGACTTCAAAAAAAATGTTGCTTGCAGGGCCCCGCTCTGGATTTTACCCTCAGACTCCCTCCGTAGCGGTTTGCGGAGTGAGGCTTTTGGAGGAAAACTTCAGAAGTGTTACTCCTTGCCACCACGGAGATGTTTTGAAACTTCACCTTGAGCTTTTTGTAGCTAATCTGACCCAAAAAGGCAGAGTTGAAGACATTGCATTACTTTAATTTGAAGCCTGGAGGTCGGGGCACGTGTAGTCTTCATTCTCCCCTCTGCCTCTGACAGCCAGCTCTGTCCTCGGGAGGAAGAGGGAGGAGGGTGCGGGTGCGGGCCAGCAACCATTCGAGTTCTTGTCTTCGTTCCCCAGGACTCTGCCTGCCCTGGTGTGGCATCGACAGGACTGGACCATACTTCATTCCTATGTGCACCTCAGTGCCGAGGAGCTGGAAGCCCTGCGGATGTGCCCAGGTAGACAGTGGGGGTCTCGCAGGAGGAGAGGCTTGGCGTTCACCTGGTTTGGGGGAGGACTTTTTTCTGGCCTTCCCAAAGGGACTACTGATGATGCCTTATTTCTTTGGTAAATGCGACCAATTTTTTTTCCTTAAAAATTTTATTTTTTTTCACATTTTATTTTATTTTTTATTTTTATTTTTTAAAATTTACATCCGATTTAGTTAGCATAGAGTGCAACAATGATTTCAGGAGTAGACTCCTTAATGCCCCTTCCCCATTTAGCCCATCCCCCCTCCCACAACCCCTCCAGTAACCCTCTGTTCTCCATATTTAAGAGTCTCTTCTGTTTTGTCCTCCTCCCTGTTTTTATGTTATTTTTGCTTGCCTTCCCTTATGTTCATCTGTTTTGTCTCTTAAAGTCCTCATAGGAGTGAAGTCATATGATATTTGTCTTTCTCTGACTAATTTTGCTTAGCATAATACCCTCTAGTTCCATCCATGTAGCTGCAAATGGCAAGGTTTCATTCTTTTTGATTGCCAAGTAATACTCCATTGTGTATATATATACCACTTCTTTATCCATTCATCCATCGATGGACATTTGGGCTCTTTCCATACTTTGGCTATTGTCAATAGTGCTGCTATAAACATGGGGGTGCATGTGTCTCTTCGAAACAGCACACCTGTATCCCTTAGATAAATACCTAGTAATGCTGTTGCTGAGTCATAAGGTAGTTTTATTTTTAATTTTTTGAGGAACCTCCATACTGTTTTCCAGAGTGGCTGCACCAGTTTGCATTCCCACCAGCAGTGCAAAAGAGATCCTCTTTCTCCGCATCCTCGCCAACATCTGTTGTTGCCTGAGTTGTTAATGTTAGCCATTCTGACAGGTGTAAGGTGGTATCTCATTGTGGTTTTGATTTGTTTTTCCCCGATGATGAGTAACGTTGAACATTTTTTCATGTGTCAGTTGGCAATCTGGATGTCTTCTTTTAGAGAAGTGTCTTTTCATGTCTTTTGCCCAATTCTTCACTGGATTATTTGTTTCTTTGGGTGTTGAGTTTGATAAGTTCTTCAATGTTTATTTTTGAGAGAGAGAGCGAGAGAGAGACAGAGTGTGAGCGGGGGAGGGGCAGAGAGCGAGGGAAACACAGAACCCGAAGCAGGCTCCAGGCTCTGAGCTGTCAGCACAGAGCCCGACACAGGGCTTGAACTCACAAACCATGAGATCATGACCTGAGCCTGATGCTTAACTGACTGAGCCCCTGAGGTGCCCTGAGTTCGGTAAGTTCTTTATAGATTATGGATACTAACCCTTTATCTGATATGTCTTTTGAAATATCTTCTCCCGTTCTGTCGGTTGCCTTTTAGTTTTGCCGATTGTTTCCTTCACTGTGCAGAAGCTTTTTATTTCGATGAGGTCCCAGTAGTGAATTGGTCCTCAATTTTTTTTATTTGTTTTTCATTGTATTGCTCTGTGAAATGTGAAAAGTCTGGTAGCTATTTTCTTAACATCAGTTCCAAACTTCTGTTAATTCTTGAGTTGTCCTGATTCCTTTAGCATTTATTTGTATCAGATCTGAAACTGGTGAAAGATGATGCCGTCCCCAGCACGCTGTCCCTGAGAAAGCCGGGCGTGTGGCTGTGGTTGCTTAGAGACAGAGACCTACAGGGGGAGCATTGGTCAAGAGAATCCTTGCTACCTCTACCTCGGCTGTCATTCTTGACCTGAATAGCAGTAACTGAAAAGTAAATGCCTTCTTCTTTGACACTACAATGTAGTTTTGGGGACGTTTTGAGTTGGAAGGGTTTCTTCAGGCAACTGTCAATAATGTAGTCTGAAGAAATGCCAGAGGGTACAGCTGATGTCCCCTGAATAAAGCAGTGAAGAAAAGCAGCTGGTGAACGTTTAGAGTCCATTCTCTTTTGACCCGTTCACAACAGGATTTGTTCCCATTCCGGTAATGTGGGTCATCTTTGTCATGCAGGTTACATCGCTGGGTTTGTGGACTTGGAGGTGAGCAACAGGTCAGACCTCTATGACGTGTTTGTGAATCTGGCAGATCGTGAGATTACCATTGCCCCACTTGCGAAAGGTTAGTTCTCTCTTGCGTCGTTGATACAAAATGTAAGCCAAGCAGTTATACTTTTTAAAATTAATTTCTTAAAATTTTAATTCCAGTGTAGCTAACATACAGGGTTATGTTTCAGGGGTTCAGTACAGTGATTCAACACTTCCACATGCTACTCAGGGCTCATGAAGATAAGTGTGCGCATAATCTCCTCGATCGGTTTCACCCATCCTCCCGCCCACCTGAAGCAGTTGTATTTTTTTTTAATGTTTATTTATTTTTTTTTTATTTTTGAGAGACAGAGAGACAGCATGAGCAGGAGAGGGCAGAGAGAGAGAGAGAGAGAGAGAGAGGGAGACCCAGAATATGAAGCAGGCTCCAGGCTCCGAGCTGTCAGCACAGAACCTGACGCGGGGCTTGAACTCACCAGTCGTGAGATCATGAGCTGAGCTGAAGTCGGACGCTCAACTGACTGAGCCACCCAGGCGCCCCTGAAGCAGTTGTATCTTTAGGCTGATGCTCTAAAACTGGTATTCAAGGGCCTGCTTTGCCCACTGTGCTGAAACTGGAGAGATTTTCTGTGTCTGGAACATAGCATTTATTCTTACAGGCCAGCCATGTTAGTAGTACATTCTGGGTGCTTATGCTGTACAGTATATGTTAATAAGATAGTGTCTTTTTTTTGTAATGTTTATTTATTTACTATGAGAAAGTAAGCGTGAGTGGGGGAGCGGCAGAGAGAGGGAGAAAGAATCCCAAGCAGTCTCCGTGCAGTCAGCACAGAGCCGGACGTGGGGCTCCATCATCTGAACCTTTGAGATATGACCTGAACTGAGATCAAGAGTGGACACAACCGACTGAGCCACCCAGGTGCCCAATAGGATAGTGTCTCTATCTCGTTTCTCAACTTTTCTGTTTAAACAAGCTGTATGAGTTACCTATTGCTGCATAACAAATCACTTTTAAACCTAGTAGTTTAAAACAGCAAATATTGGGGCACCTGGGTGGCTCGTTCGGTTAAGCGTCCGATTTCGGCTCAGGTCATGATCTCATGGTCTGTGAGTTCGAGCCCCGTGTTGGGCTCTGTGCTGACAGCTCAGAGCCTGGAGCCTGTTTCGGATTCTGTGTCTCCCTCTCTCTCTGCCCCTCCCCTGTTCATGCTCTGTCTCTCTCTGTCTCAAAAATAAATAAACCTTAAAAAAAAAAAATTAAAACAGCAAATATTTATTATCTCACAGTTTTAGGACTGACTTAGCTGAGAGGTTCCGACTCAGGGTCTCTCATGAGGTTTCGATCAAGATACTGCCAAGGCAGGGGCACCTGGGAGGCTCAGTTGGTTAAGGGTCTGACTTCGGCTCAGGTCATAATCTCATGGTTCGTAGGTTCGAGCCTCATGTTGGGCTCTGTGCTAACAGTTCAGAGCCTGGAGCCTGCTTCGGATTCTGTATCTTCCTCTCTCTCTCCGCCCCTCTCCTGCTCATACTCTGTCTTTCTCTCAAAAATAAATACACATTAAAAAACAAAGATATTCCCAAGGCTTCAGGCATCCAAAGTCTCAGCTTCTAAGCTAACTTTTAGCAGGAGGCCTCACCACCTGGCCTCTCTGTAGGGCAGCTTGAGTATTCTCATGACATGACAGCTGGCTTCCCCAAGAGTGAGTGATCCAAGAGACAGAAAGACCACAGTGCCTTTTCTGACCTAGTCTCAGAAGTCATATGCCAATTCTTCCATATTCTATTTGTTAGAAGGAAGCCATTAAGTCCAGTCCCCACGTAAGAGAGAGGAAGTAGGCTCCACCTCTTAAAGGACAGAGAATGAAAAAGGGCGTAGAAATTTATTATTGCACAAGGACTGAACATGAATCCTGTATGGAAAATCTTTTTGAATGATGTGTCAGTAAGCAAAAGGGAATGGAGGTGAGTATTGCCCTTTGTAAAGCCAGAGTGATAGGATACTAGCTGTGGCCAGGGCCACTTATATTGCTGGAGCATTAGGACCAGAAAGGGTGGCCATCTCCTGTCGCCTTCTGTTGCTCCGAGTATATAAGATGAGCTCATCTCAAATCAACACCATTCAAATGGAGTTTGTCCCTTGGAGGAACAAACAGAAATTTCTGTTCATCTTTTTGCTGCAGAAAAGGAGCAGTGTATGTAAATCGTGTGACTTAGGTTGTTTCCTTTGCACATTCTGAGGGTCTTCACACACTGGAATGTTCAGCTGGCTTCTGCAGAACTGATAGGATGCTCTGCTGCTATAGGATCCCCACCAGAAGGTTCCACTTGAATTTTTTTTTTAAATGTTTATTTCTTTTTGAGAGAGAGACAGAGCATGAGTGGGGAAGGGGCAGAGAGAGAGGGAGACACAGAATCCGAAACAGGCTCTAGGTTCTGAGCGGTCAGCACAGAGCCCGACGCGGGGCTCGAACTCATGAATGTGAGATCATGACCTGAGCCGAAGTGGGACTTTTAACCAACTGAGCCACCCAGGCCCGCGAGTTACACTTGAATTCTTAACCGTAAAGACCTGCGTAGGGAGGTCAGGCTCTTGGCTTAAAATCACAACTTACTTGTAGTCAGTAGTTTTCATTAGGTCTTGTCTAGGAAGAAAAACAAAATTTCTCATCAGGTAGGTGTGAAGGAGAAACCTGGTATTGGCGTGTTTTTATTTTGAACGAAGTATAAATCGTGATTATGCCATGCCTCCTGGCACGTCCCTTGGAGTGATATCATATTTGCGTTCAGGATGAAGATGGAAATGTGGGCGGTTGTTGGTTGTTTTGAAAATTTCCTCCGTATGATGGTTTACATTTTCAAATAGGCAGCCTGGTTTTTATTATGTAAACTTCTAACTATCTACATAACTTCTGCTTGATCTCACCAGAGGCCATGACAATGGGCAAACTGCACAAAGAAATTGGTCAGCTGATTGTTCAATCGGCAGAAGATCCGGAGAAGTCAGACGGCCAAGTCATACAGGTAACTCCTCAGTCCCCTGCCTTACTGAGAGTTGTGTAGTGGTGGTGCCGGGCAGCGTGTGGCAGAGCTGCCTGGGGTGCGGGGAGCCGTGAGAAGCCGTAGGCAGATGCTGGCACGAGGGTCTGCAGGGTGGCCCTGGTTAGAGGAGCGGGCGGAGGCCCACCGTAGCCAAATAGTTATCAGGCTCTGGGGACAGATACATGCAGGGGGCTGGTGACAGGTGTGACCCCCAGCTGGTCTGGAATGCTTTCCTGAGCGAACGCATTCTGTGCTCCAGCAGAATTTTCACGGAGGGACAACTTTCAAGAGATAGTTGCTGCTGAGGACTAGAGAGAGCGACTCAGTCTAGCTTCGATGTACTGTGTCCAGAACAGCAGTAAGCAAGCATGTAGTCAGATCCCTGCCAAAGGTAGCAGACTCTGGGCTCACACCCTGCAGGGCTAGCCCCGCTGTGGGGTCTCCCTGTCAAGCTGGCCAGAGCTTCCATGTGGATCCTCCCCTCTCCCCTTTCTGGATCGGGATGGCTGGAGAGTTTACTCAAGCCTGTCCCTGTGGTGATGACAGCCCTCCTGTGCACCACAGCCTGCCAGCTCCTTTCCTGTCTGCTGCCGGTTTGCATTGCGCCTGTTCCCAGCTCCTTACTCTTCTCCCGGGATACACTTCCATCCTGGCCTCCGGGCCCTGGCTCATCTAGACCCTTGTGTCATCCCGTGGGGGCCAGAGGCCTGGAAGGATTGTCTCCCACTGTCTGTACCTGTGCCACCTCATCAGGGGTGGGGGTGGGGGGGCTCTGATAGGCAGGCCCTACTCATCTGGCTGGACCCGGTTCTTTTTTCCATTTATTCATTCATTTATCCAGAAAATGTTTATTGAGCACTGACTATATGTCAGGCATGGGGCAGTAGGGTTGTATTTATTGGAGTAGATGAATAGGAAATAATGTAAGGGCACCTGGGTGGCTCGGTTGGTTAAATGTCTGACTCTTGATTTCAGTTCAGGTCATGGTCCCGTGTTTGTGAGTTCAAGCCCCACGTCGGACTCTGTGCTGGTGGCACAGAGCCTGCTTGGGATTCTCTCTCTTCTCTCTGCCCCTCCCCAGATCATGCTCGCTCTCTCTGTCTCTCTCTCTCTTTCTCTCTCTCTCTCTCTCTCTCTCTCAAAATACATAAATAAACTTAAAAACAAGTAAATGCCAGATCATTGTGAGCCATGAGAAATGAATGCTGTGATAGAAACAAAGGGTCAAGGTGAAGAATACTAGAGAAGAGATTAGACAGCTCTCCGAGGAGGTGACACGTGAGCTAAAGGTTGAGAGGAGCCACAGGTGTGACAGGAACCCCCCAGCAGCACCGTGCTTTCTGTTCAGCGCTGGTGGCCCATTGGCTCAGGCCAGGAAGAGTGGGGGGGGCTTGTCCTGAGAGCTGAGACTCTTCCTTTCCTACTGTGTGGATCATCACTGCCCATCCATCCCTCCATCAACGCTCAAGTAAAAATGCTGGCTCTTTACAACGTTGGTTATCTGTGTAAATAGGAGTTTTGTGTTACTGCGTTTTTCGTGGACTACAAGTGATACGCACGTGACTCAGTATAATGTATGATGAAATTGCCTGGCATATTATATTGTATGGGTTTGAAAATATTTGAATTAATGATATCAGCAAACCAAGAAAAAGACATGACTTTAATGTGAGCTCTCGTGAGTCATCAGCCATGCAAAGGACTGTCGGGAAAGAGGAATACAGCCCATGTGGCAGGTGCTGGGTTACTTATTCCAGGTAGAAGAGGATTTTGGGGGGTGGGGAGATTTGTTCTAAAAACAATACCAAGGTTCCTTAAAAATTCAACATAGGAATACCATAGACCCAGCAATTCTACTGGGTATATTTCAGAAAGAATTGAAAGCAGACACAGATAAGTAATTGTGCACTCAGGTTCACAGCAGCTCTATAAATAATAGCCAAAAGGTAAAAATAACCCAAATGTCCATCAGTGGATGAATGGATAAACAAAACGTGGTACATGCGTATGGTGGAATATCATTGAGCCTTAAAAGGCAATGAAGTTTAACATGTGCTACGACATGTATTAACCTTGAAAACATTATGCTAAGTGAAATAAGCCAGACACAAAAGGACAAATGTTGTGTGATTTCACTTATATGAGGTACCCAGAACCAGGCAAATTCACAGAAGCAAAAGGTAGAATGGTGGTTACCAGGCATTGGAGACAGGGATGGGGAGTTATTGTTTAATGGGTACAAGATTTCAGTTTGGGATGATGAAAAAGTTCTGGAAATGGGTAGTAGTCATAAAACACTGAATGTACTTGTTGTCACTTAAAAATGGCTAAAATGGCAAAAACATGGTGTTGGTTTTTCTGTTTTAAGTTTCATTTTTTGTAATGCATAAATAATTTGATAAACTTAAAAAATAGGAAGAATCTCTCCAAATGCAGCAAAAATTCGTATTTTTTGATGCTAACTTATGGCATATCTTCTTGTTCCATTAAAGGATATTTCTCTAAAAACTAGAGAAATCTTCACCCACCTGGAACCATTTTCAGAAGTTTCTGGTGATGGAGAAAAGCTAGTTCTCAATTTTGAGGCACTAAAGCAAAGACGATTTCCACCAGCAACAGAAAACTTCCTTTACCATCTAGCAGCAGCTGAGCAAATGCTGAAAATCTGACTGTGTGACAGCATATCCCTGATGAATGATAGAAAGTTCTCTCACCATGGTTATCCACTGTGTAAAATACTGAAAATAGCACAGAAAATGTTCTATTTTTAATGATTTATGTGAAAGTGTTGAGATTTGACCTGAAAAAGCCCTAAAACACATATGAAAACATTTCCGATGTCCTCCTGGTCAGATTCATGCCTGCGGTCAGGGTCAGACCAAGTGCTGTAACTACCACCTATGACGTGAGCAACGACGTGGTGTCCCGGCGTAAGAGAAAAAAAGCTCTGCCAAGTTTTAGTGCAAATCACAGCAAACCCGAAAGCCTTCATTATTATCAGTTCCACTTGTCCCATTGCGTAGCCACAAACGAATGGCTTACTTTCAGAAAGCTGCCTGAAATTTTGCTTTGTATTCTTCTAGGAAGAACTTTTATTCCTCATGAGGAACTCTACTTTCTGAGCCAAACTACTAAGTTTTCTGCAGAACTGTCCAGAAGATCATTCAAAAAAGATCCTGCAGTTGCACTTTCTTGTAAAAGAAAAGAATTCTTTTTCTTGGCCTTTAAACATTTTTGCCTATATTATGAGGATTTTGCATAGATTTTATACTTGAGTAGACAACTTTAATAATCCATATTTATATTGTCACAGAAGTAAACACTTGGCAAACTTAAGCCATTAGTACTCTTTAATTAATCCTGTTGCCAGCAATATTCTTTTGAAAAAGATGCCAGTCCTTATATGATAGAGCAAAAAGAAGCCCATTTTGGATATAAATGTCGGTATGAAGAAAATAGCAACTTTACATAATTACAAAGGCTAAGACCGGAGAGTGTCTTCATACTTCAGTGAAAGTAATTTGGCCACACTGGAAAGTATTCTTGTTCAGCTTATGTATCTTTTTCATAATTGGAGGCCTAAAAGTTGCAAAATAAGCATAGAGGTCTAAATTATGTATTTGTTATTATATGTGTTCATATTAATTATGAAAAATTATTTTACACTCACTACTGTTGTCCTTAGAAATCTTACCCAGAAAAACAGTTGCAAAAAAATCTCGTCTTTATTAGATCTTTCATTTATTCTTTGTGTTAGACATTTGTTAAGTAAAAATAAAAAATAGCCTTTTCCCCTCCCTCCTTGGGTGGGGGCAGGGAGGATCTGGAATGAGATGATGTTTACTAAGGCAAACAATTGAAGATTAAATCTGCACTTTATGAAAACGAACATGAACGTCTTTATCTCCATTTTTTGTATTACTATAGCAGTTAATGATCAAAGTTGTTAAAATTACAGATTTATGATGCAGAAATAAAATGAAAATATTTTGATATCCAACGAAATTTAGGCAGATGAAGAATTGTGCCCTCTTTCTGTAATGCTCCCCACTCGAAACAAAAGATAAAACCCTTTTGTCAATGCAGATGTGCTGGGAAGTTATTGCAAGGCCTGTTTGAAAGTTAAGGCGTTCAGCTCCTTGCCTCCGTGCCTGGCTCACCCCCTGCCCTCCCTGCCCTCGCCCTTCTCCATCCCCCATTTCCTAGAGCTGGCACTTGTGTCTTCTCCTTTGAAAAGGTGCCCTCGAGTTTCTACTCTGTCATCTGTTAGTGGCTAAGCCTCCACCTGGGTCCTTTGTGTGTTTTGTTCTTTCATTTTGTTTCGTGTATGCCTGTGGCTATACCGAGCCATCTGGTAGGCTTTTTTAAACAGTTTTGTTCATTTAGGCTTTTGTGAAACCCTTTTAACCAAGTTTGCAGATAACCATCATTCTGGCCCAGGGAACATTGAAAGCCTCAGATACATTCTTTGATGATTTGGGGCCGGGTGTGTTGGAAACGTTCCTCCAGCATGCAGATGTTAGGGTGCCTACTGTGCCATGCACTGCGTTGTGTCCTGAGGCTTTCCTTGATGCACAACACACACACTTCTTGCTCTCAAGGCATGCGGTCTGGGGGGGGCTCAGGGCCAGCAAACAGGCTATCCCACTGTGGTGTGGCCAGGCTAGATACAGTATGAGTGCTATGGGAGCACGTAGCAGGGGCACCTAATTCAGTACTGTGTATCCTAGAGGGCTTCCTGGAGGGAGTGATTGATGTCCAAGTCAGACCTGATGCATAAGCGAGAGTTAACCTGGAGCTGGGAACAGTTGATATGAAGGTCCAGGAAGGAAAGCCTGCAGCCCATATGAGGAACAGGGTATGGTCCAAAGTGAAGAAAAGGGGCGGCAGGAGATGAATAAGGTAAAGGCTCTGGCCTGCCTGGTAAGGAATTTGGACTTGAACCTGATGCACTGGGAAGCCATTTAAGGCTTTTGGGCAGGTGTTTATCAGAGCAGGCTGAGGCAGGGAAGGGAGGAGCCAGCAGAGATAATCGAGTAACGCCAGCAGGGGATGCTGATGGGCCGGGCAGGCTGTAGCACTTGTCACCTTTGGGCTCAGCTGTTGAATGGGGTTGAGGGGAGGGAGAAGAGAGGGTGACGCCAGTGATCTTGGGTGACGCTGCTTCGTCGGTGGCGGTGCCATTTCCTGAGACGGGGAGGAAAAGATGGTCTCAAGTGGATGTCTGAGGGGCGGGGTACCGGGGGCAGCAGGAGGGGGGCCTACCGCTCAGGGGAGCAAGCCCCGTGCTGAGTCTGAGCACCCAGCAGACTGGCAGTCAGTGTTCGGGTGGGGTGTGGGGTGGGGAGCAGTTCTAGCAGGGTGGAAGGCAGTGGGCACAGCGAGGGGAGACAACCCTTGAAAACATTTGGCTCCGGAAGGATGTTAGCTATTTTAACGAGGCTGGTGACTCCAGTAGTTCCCTTGCTTCTGGGAAGGAGGGAGGAGTCTGGAGCCAGAGGCAGGGAAGCTACACAGGCACGGAAGGCCCTGAGGAAATGGGAATGGAAGGGCCCTGAGCCCGGCCCACAGCTGACCTTGCGAGGAGGAGGGAAGGCTGGGCGTGGGTGGGAAGAGGTCTGCGGAATTGACGCCAGGAGGTTCCACCGCTGGCCCACAGCCTTGTTTTCACTGTGAGGGAGGAGGCAGGGTCATTTGCCAGAGAGGAGACAGGAGGCGGATGGCCCCGGGGGCAAAGATTTTCAGGCGTCCAAAATGGGAGTAAGCTGAGGAGGGAAAGAGGATTGCTTTGGGGGTGGAGGCCTTCAGCGCTCACCAGAGGCTCCCACTTACCTTGAGGTGGGCCATCAATTTAATGGCTGGACCCTGGGCACGGGAGACCCTTTTCCTTTATTTTTTCAAATACTCAACTTTTAATAAGTTTATTAGTAATTTCACAGTATCCCTTCAGAGGCCGATGAACAAACACCTAGAGAATCGAATCTTCTATCACCCATCCCCTCAGCAACCCCATGGGGGTGGACCAGACAGGACAGCCTCTTGTTTCTCAGAACTTTCATCCAGGCTTGAAACCCCAGGCACCTGCCTGAAAAGGGCGCTGGCCTGTGCAATTGTAAACCATCCTGGGGGGCACAGACACCTCGGGTTCCAGACCCCTGGCAGAGTCCTCGGAACAGACACCTCGAGCAGAGAGGAAGGCGTTCAAGCAGGAACAGAACAAATTCACCAAAAACTCATCCCTATACCCCTCTGTTATAGAAGAGTTCCGTTTCTTCTGTTGCGGACTGAATTTCCTTTTCAAGCTTATTGCACTGTATCTGAAAAACAAAGTTAAATTCTTAATATTTATATTAAGAACTTTTCTTGCCTTAAGAGCCAAGTTAAAAAATATATGTATATATTACAGAAAGCATCTATTTTCCAGTCCAACTTTTTCAGTGATGTCTGATCGACAACAACAAAAAAGCCGAACTTCTTGAACACTTTGTTATGGAGAATTTCAAATATAAACACACGCAGAAAGAATACAATGGGCCCTCATCTACTCATCACTCAGCATTAGTAACAACCTGCCAATCTCCTTTCATCCGGCATCTCCCAATCCCAATTTGGGGGTATTTTCGGGAGTGTTTGAAGGCAATTCTCAGATCTGTCATTTTACCTACAAATGCTTCCGTATGAAATTCCAAAGGACAATGACTCTGTTATGCAACTACTCTGCTGTCATCACACCCACCAAAGTTAACAACAATCCCCCTAATCCCCAGTCACGGTTCTTAGTCTCACGAGGTGGCAGAAGTACTAGCTCAGTGGAAAAGGAGTTTTGCAGGGGACAAGTTTCCCTGTCAAGGTCACTCACTGAGTTTCCAGACCTGAAGGTTGCTGCAGCCCGTGGTACGTCTGAGAAGATGTCTTGGTCCTGGGCGGGGGCCAGACAAGGAGGCAGGGCTTGGGGACCCCACTGGCTGGGGACCACCATTCAGCCACCTCTGTGCCCACCTTGGACCAACAAGGTTCTTTCAAGGTCTAGCAAATGCCAAGACTTGCTTGGCGGTTGGCGGGGAGAGGCTCAGGAGGGGAAATGGATTCCATTTCCTGCCTCTATTCTGGCCTCTGAGAGCCCTGCCCCTTCAAGCCTTGCATGACCCACCGGTTGCCTTCAGAGTAGAGCCTGCCTCCTGGGCCTGGCCACACAGGCCCAGCTATCTGGCCCCAAGCATGTTGCCAGTCACACTCAGTGACTTGTGCCCAGCTACACTGGACTCCTCAGCTCTCCTATACCCCGACTTGGAATGCCCTCTTCACTCCCCCATCTCTGCCTGTTGACATCCATCCATGTCCAAAGCCTACTTCTTCCAGGCAGCCTTCCTGGATCAGCCGGCAATTCTCTTCTTTCCCTAATCTCCCCATAGCCTTTTGGTCATACTTACTTCCTAGCAGGTAACAGTTGTTTCCATATGTGACACATTACCCTTCCTGCCATCTGTCCCATCTGTTCTTCCACAGCAGCAGAATTTTAAATAGGTCCAAAATAAAGACCTCATTTCCCAGCTTCCCTTGCGGTGAGGCTTGACCACATGACTAAATTCTGGCCAATGTGATGAAGTGAAAGTGGCACGTGGCCGAGTGGAATGAGAAAGGTACCATCTGGTACCTTGAAGATGGGGCCAAACCCTAGGAATGGTGGCATGCTGGCCTGGAAGGAATTAAGATCCCTGAGGACTTTATGACGCATCGCTGCCTTATTGGGCTGGTCACCTCACAGTAGAAAGCAAAATGGAGCCTCTGATGTCAAGCAATGACACAAGTAGTCAGAGGTACTGCAGCTCCGAGATTATCGCCGGGACCGGCATCAGCTGATACCCCAGCACTGACAACAAGCCGAACCAGAGGAGGTCTGCAGGGGCTCTTCATAAAGGGACGAGTTTTGCAGCAAACCATCAGACTCTTCTGATGTGACCCCTCCATGACCACTTAAAAAGCAGCTGCCGCCAAGGCACTACCCGATTGATCTCGAACGTGACTGAGATCCTTCACGGCTTGACCATAATAAGCGGTAAGTGCCGAGGGCTGACCCGGCTGGACCACGGCCTTATCTCAACTGCGCACCCACAGACTGACTTCACGTTTGCTTGGCTAACTTTGCACCTTTCTGTTACCTTGTTTGTTGTGTGACTTATGTTCTGCTCCATGCGCTGTGTAAGAAGCCAAGTTTAATCACATGGTGAAATGTCACCCAGTTTGGAACCCTGAACCTGCTTTCAGAATCGTGATTCCCTTTGCTTTATGACTGAACAAAACTGGTACTTTATTGGAAAAGGTACTGTGGAAAAACACAACTCATGTGTGCGCCTTCCCAGCGTGCTCATGACACATTTTATGTGAGTGAGAAACAACTTCTACCTTGTTCAGGCTGTTATTTTCGATCTCATTTACAACCGAATGTAATTCTAATTTATTTAAAAAAATTTTTTTAAGTTTATTTATTTTGAGACAGCATGAGCAGGGAAGGAGCAGAGAGACAGAGGGAGAGAGAGAGAATCCCAAGCAGGCTTTGCATGTCAGTGTGGAGCCTGATGCGGGGCTGAACTCACGAAACGTGAGATCATGACCTGCGCTGAAACCAAGAGTCAGACACTCAACCAACTGAGCTACCCAGGTGCCCCAAACGTAATCCTAGTTAATACAGAGCCCTTCCTTCCTCTGTCCTGGTTATTGGCATCACACCTAAACCAGAAATCTGGAGAGCCCCTTGGATCCTTTTCTCTTTATTTTCACCCCCAATCTGAATGCTCACAAATTCTAACTCGCCCAATTCAATATTTCTCTCTAACCTACTACCATGGACCTACTCTGAGCCCCCCATCACCTCCAGCCAGAATGTGTCTACAGCCCCCCAGCTGTCCTCCTAGCCTCCCATCTACACTGTGACATCCAAAGAGTGATACTTCTAAAATACAACCTGACGAAGCCACTCCCCCCTCGAAACGTCTCCCTCATTGCCTCCGTAAAAAGTTCTATCACCATGAGGGGCTGGTAAGGTCCTTCCCCCATTGGCCCCGCCTCTCCATAGCTGAATAGCCCACAGGGGAATTTCCTATTTCTCCTGAGCCCCAGGCTCCTGTCGGTAAAGTGGGAATACAAACTACCTTGAAAAGCTGTCTTAAAGACAAGAGACTAACTGCCAGGCAGACAGTCCCCAGGACACAGAAGATGCTGGATAAACAGAAGCCACACTTGTTAGGCGTAGAACACCTGTAGCCTCTTCTCTCACACTCTAGCCATGTGGGACCAGAGTGCCCGGGGTGGACCACACCACCCCATGTCTGGGCACAAGCTGTGCCCTTGGCCCAGGCTGCCTTTCCCCCCACGCATCCCCTGCCACTGGGCCCCCAGCCCCTGGCTGCACTGACGTTGCCTCTGTTGTGCCCACACCACCCCTATGTGTGACTGCGTTCCACTGCAGTCCCACTGTGTCTACAGTTACCTGCGTGTGGGAGTCTCCCCCTCACGGGCCCGAGGACCCCAACACATCCATTCGGCCCTGTAACTTTAAGTCTAGTGGCCACCAGACTCCAGAAGGCCAGTGAGAACAGCGGCAGCAAAGTGGGGGAGGATCGCCTCTGGCCCTGCCCTCTGACAGGCTGTCCTGGACCTAGCCTTCCCAGAAGAAGGGTGACCTCATGCCCTCGGAGGCCCCAGCCATAGAGAGTAGCCACTAGCTGAGGACCAAAATGATATCACAGAGTAAAGAACCAAGTTACTCCTAACATTGGAAAAACGAATCCCATGACCCACAATGATGTGTACAAGACAAACTGGAAAGAGACCTGATTATCTAACAACTTGCGGATTCCATATTCTGACTCCCCCGTGGCAGCGAAGGGAGTTCCGCAAAAGGTTGTTCCCTTGGACCTCTTAAAGTACGACACCTCCACCCTCAGCCGGGCGGGATTCCTGGGCTCTGTGGCTTCCCCTTCTCCTACTTCCCCAATCAAAGCCCCAGCTGGCCACACGTCATTGCTTTTTCATAGCTACATAGGGCAAGACCCATTTACTCACCGCTGACCCCAGCACCTAGCTGGTCTGGCAGGATAGGCCCCCCATCACTGTTTGGGGAATGAATGCAAGAGCCCAGGAGGAAACCACATAATCATGGCAGCAGGGGAGTGGGAACCTCCCCCAAGATTTAACGACTTTTGTAAATGACATAACCTCTGCAGGTTAAGCCACCTCCTTCACTCTGAGTACCAGTGCAACCAGAAGTAATTATTTGCAAAAGAGTTCACTTTTATTACAATCTTATTATAATAAGCCATGTTCTAGGTGGGCCTGTAAGGATTAAAAATATATTCTAGCATTTTATTTTAATAAATAAATATTTAGTAATATAAGTTTCTATGTTAGGTGATGGCAAAGTTACCCGAATTAATGATTTTATGAACCTAGATTTGGGTTTTGAACAAGCTCATTCCATAAATTTAAATGCTTTTGAAGACATCACTGATTTTTAACTTCAGTGGCAGAAACAAACATTTGAAATTTTCAGCTAAGAAACGCCAGGAATCGCCCAAAGCTGTGACATCAACAATGTCCCTGACAGCAGCAACAGCCTTTTGCGGAGATACTATCTTTAATTCTCTTTAACAGATATGGAAATTGAATCTCACAGAATTTAAACAAATTGACCGAGGTCATGGAGGAGCTGGGAATTTGAATCCAGGTAATCTGACTCATCATCGATTATAATATATCCTAGTCTATAGAACTACATCGTCTAATACGGAAACTGCTAGCTGCATGTGAGTACTTAAAATACATTAAATAAAAAATTCAGGGGCACCTGAGTGTCTCAGTCGTCGGTTAAGCCTGACTTCGGCTCAGGTCATGATCTCCCAGCTGGTGAGTTCGAGCCCCGCCTTGGGCTCTGTGCTGACGGCCTGGAGCCTGTTTCAGATTCTGTGTCTCCCTCTCTCTCTGCCCCTTCCCTGCTCACACTCTGTCTCTCTCTCTCTC